TCTATAGACTAAGGACTATCATACCTGAAATTTTCACGTTTCTATCTTAAGCCAGTTTTTAGAACGTTCGCGGACAACCTGACCCTTCAAAAATCATAAAATCGACAATATTTCCGGACCGGAAGTGACGTCATCAAAACGGAAAAAAATGAATCAAGTTCAAGTAATGTTACATGAGTCCTGAAAGTTTCATGGAAATCCATCGAGCCGTTTTTGAGAAATCGCGTGCACAAAATCGGTAAGAAAAAAAAGAATAATAATAGGTAAGAAAAAAAGTGAAAAAGAAACCGAAGAATAACAAGAAGGTCTTCCGCTGAAGACGGAAGACCTTAATAATAATAAGAAACAGAGTAAAAACAATATGTTCCCCAACTTCGTTTGGGGAACATAATAAGAAACAGAGTAAAAACAATATGTTCCCCAACTTCGTTTGGGGAACATAATTAAATGTCCATATTTAAGTGACACCTTTTTCATACACAGGGTCTAATAAAATCACACCCTAAAGAGAAAAGGGGATCCCTGTAAGGGACATGTATTGCTTATGCAATACTCTCAGAATGCTTGTTTTATCAAAAATGCAATTAGCAATGCGGCTACCTCAAGAATTTGCTTATTCAAAGTGTCCATAGTTAATTGTTTGTTTATATGTTGTTTCACTCCCTTTCGAGAATTTTCACTCATAGATACGGAGATTGCAGGTGGAGAGTAGCATATTTTGTCCTTAGCAATTAGGACCAGTGAGCAGTGAGGATTCTTTTTTGTGTCAGTACCTACTGTGTTTCTGGGCCTTGGTTTATACAGTTTCATCCAAGGGACCTGTCTCTATGTCCAACAGTGGGATTTGAACCCACAACATAAGGATCAAATCCTTACTCTGCTACTCTAGTGCAGAGCTGTCACCACTGCATCATGCAGGTGACTTCTTAGTTTATAGGATTATAAGAAAAGATATGTAACATGACACTGGCGTTTTTAGCTCACCTGAGCCGAAGGCTCAAGTGAGCTTTTCTGATCAAAATTTGTCCGTCGTTGTCGGCGTTGTCGTCGTTATCTTTTCACATTTTCGACTTCTTCTCAAGAACCACTGGGCCAATTTCAACCAAACTTGGCACAAAGTATTCTTAGGTGAAGGGGATTCACGTTTGTTCAAATCAAGGGCCACGCCCTCTTCCAAGGGGAGATAATTATGAATTAGTGAAAAATTAATGGTATTTTTAAAAAATCTTCTAATCAAGAACTACTGAGCCAGGAGAGATGAAACTCATGTGGAAGCATCCTCATATAGTGTAGATTCAAATTTGTTCAAATCATGACCCCCGGGGGTAGGGTGGGGCCACAATGGCCGAGCGAAGTTTTACATAGGAGTATATAGGGAAAATCTTTAAAAATCTTCTCAAGAACCACAAGGCCAAGAAAGATGAAACTCATGTGGAAGCATTCTCAGGTAGTGTAGATTCAAATTTGTTCAAATCATGACCCCCGGGGGTAGGGTGGGGCCACAATGGCCGATCGAAGTTTTACATAGGAGTATATAGGGAAAATCTTTAAAAATCTTCTTCTCAAGAACCACAGGGCCAAGAAAGATGAAACTGAAATGGAAGCATTCTCAGGTAGTGTAGATTCAAGTTTGTTCAAATCATGACCCCCGGGGGTAGGATGGGGCGACAATGGCTGTTCAAAGTTTTACATAGGAATATATAGGGGAAATCTTTAAAAATCTTCTTCTCAAGAATCACTGTGCCAGGAAAGATGAAACTCATGTGGAAGCATCCTCAGATAGTGTAGATTCAAATTTGTTCAAATCATGACCCCCGGGGATAGGGTGGGGCCACAATGGCCGATCAAAGTTTTACATAGGAGTATATATAGGGAAAATCTTTAAAAATCTTTTTCTCAAGAACCACAGGGCCAAGAAAGATGAAACTGAAATGGAAGCATTCTCAGGTAGTGTAGAGTCAAGTTTGTTCAACTCATGACCCCCGGGGGTAGGATGGGGCGACAATGGCTGTTCAAAGTTTTACATAGGAATATATAGGGGAAATCTTTAAAAATCTTCTTCTCAAGAATCACTGTGCCAGGAAAACTGAAACTCATGTGGAAGCATCCTCAGATAGTGTAGATTCAAGTTTGTTCAAATCATGACCCCCGGGGGTAGGGTGGGGCCACAATGGCCGATCAAAGTTTTACATAGGAGTATATAGGGAAAATCTTTAAAAATCTTCTTCTCAAGAACCTCTGGGCCAGAAAATTAAATTTATGTGGAAGCATCCTCAGGTAGTGTAGAGTCAAGTTTGTTCAAATCATGACCCCCGGGGTTAGGGTGGGGCCACAATGGCTGATCAAAGTTTTACTTAGGAATATATAGGAAAAATCTTTATAAAAATCGTCTTCTCAAGAGCTTCAAAGCAATGATTAGTGATAGTATAGGAAGAAAATGTTTAAAAAAATATTTTTATCAAGAACAGCAAAGTCATATGCTGTATTAATATGAAGGCATTCTTAAGTAGTATTTAAGTCAACCCCCCCCCCCCCCTTTAAGTAAACTTTTCAGTTCTGATCTGATTTGTGTTTTTTTCCTAGACATTTTGCTCAGGTGAGCGATGTGGCCCCTGGGCCTCTTGTTAATTAAATCACAGTAACAGAATATATTTGAAAAAAGGGGTGGGTGTATGTAGCTCTCACTGGTATTGTATGCTTTACATGTACATGCATTAAATATTTTAATTACAAATGTATTATAATGTATTACACATTTTCTTTAGAAACAGATCAGTAAAACAAGATGCATGGGGGCCAAATCGCTCACCTGAGCACATCGGCTAGGAGAACGCACAAATCAGATCAGAATTGAAAAGTTTACTAAGGGGTGGGGTGGGGGGGAATGGGGAGGGGCTTGAATTCTAATATTACTTGAGAATGCCTCCATATCAATTCTGCATATAACTTCTTGAGAAAAAGATTTTCATAGTTTTTTTAAATATTTTGTTTGTATATATTTGAATTTGAATTTGACTCCCCATCATTTCCCTCCCTACCCCAAAGGGTGCTCATGATTTGAACATATTTAAATTTTCAATACATGAGGATGCCTACATGTCATTATGACTTAACATAGCTTTTCTGTTATTGAGATTTTTCCCTTTATTTTCTGTTATTGAGATTTTTCCCTTTATTTTCCTATGTAAAACTTTGATCTACAATTGAGACCCTAGCTTCCCTACCCTTGGAGGTTATGATTTGAACAAATTTAATTCCTGAGGATGCTTCCATATAAATATCACTAATCATGGCTTCGCTATTCTTTAGAAAAAAGATTTTTTAAAATATATTTTAATGCAAAACTTGGATCCCCCATTGTGGCCCCACCCTATCCCTGGGGGTTATGATTTGAACAAACTAGAATCTACAGTATCTGAGGATGCTTCCATAAAGATATCACTAATCATGGCTTTGCAGTACTTGAGAAGAACATTTTTAAAGATTTCCCTATATATTCCAATGTAAAACTTTGATCGGCCATTGTGGCCCCACTACACTACCTGAGTATGATTCCACATGAGTTTCATCTTTCCTGGCCCAGTGGTTCTTGAGAAGAAGATTTTTAAAAAATGCCATTAATTTTTCATTAATTCATAATTATCTCCCCTTGGAAGAGGGCGTGGCCTTTCATCTGAACAAACTTGAATCCCCTTTACGCAAGGATGCTCTGTAGCAAGTTTGGTTGAAATCGGCCCAGTGGTTTCTTGAGAAGAAGATAAAAATGTGAAAAGTTTACGACAACGACGACAGACAACGGAAAAATTTTGATCAGAAAAGCTCACTTGAGCCTTCAGCTCAGGTGAACTAAATAAGAGCCATTTTGTTATTTTTACCATGATTTTTATTATAAGGTTCATTATTTTTAAAAATGGAACTTTGATCTTTTTGAGTAGTGTAGATCCTTAATTGTTCAACACCCCGGGGTGTTGTTTTTTAAAAATTATTTAAAATTTAGAGAACTTGTGAAGGATATCCAAATATTGTTTACAAAATTTTATTTCATATTTAAAGAGCATAGCTTTTATTAAAACGTATGCCCTGTAAGAAGAAGGTGCGGTTTCAATACAAATGTTGCCCTGCGATTTTCTTTAAAATGAAACTGATGTGAAATATGAAAACTCATGTATTCTGAATCGATCATTGAAATTCCATGCATAAAAATTATTAAATCATTTTTCTCAAATGCATTTCTAAATACTAATTGTGGCGTCATAAACATGTGCATTTTCCACCGGCATCTCACAGAAAGATTTTGAGATAAATGATTTTTCATTGCATTTTGCACAACGTGGCCAAAAATTACAGTGGGCAACGGCTGTGAACATTGTCTGTCTACATGTAGTAGTAAATTTTTCAATAGTAAAATTAGGACGAACACCCATTCCAATTTTTGCAGACCAGTGAGCTACAGATCTTCAGCTAAATAAATGTGAAATTTCGCATAGTTTACATGTATTTATTAAATGGAAATTTAGTTTAACATTCATATACCGTTTTTATACTCAAAACAGACAGTGTTGTTATGTTTATACTAGTAACTCAACCTAAACATTGATGTGATCCTGATTAAATAAAGGATATAAAGTCATTATTATATTTTCCCCCAATTAATCACAATATCAAAATGTATCTAATTTGATAAAAAAAATTGACTATACCATTAAAAATTCTTGAGTTGTCTTTCTATGACGAAATAAAATATCTGATGCAATGAATGTTCCCTTGGGTTCATGGCCCTGAATATTGATAAGGTTGGGATGTGTGACTATAACCCGCCAAATAATGAAGCCGCGTCTTCTAGAGTAGCGACAGTCAACATTGCTGGACGAAGTGAAATGTTCCAGAAATTAGTGATTGCGCTCCATCATTAAATTTGATAATAGATATTGCAGATATTAAAGCTGAGTATATGCAATATTTATATACTAGTAATATTAAATGAAATAATAAAGTGGGGTTATTAATAAATAATTCAATTTCTATTTGTTTTCTCTGTGATAACTCTTTGAATTCGTTGAGTTGATTTCTTGATAATTCCACCGGAATGTAAATTTTGCCAACGGAAAGGTCGGAAGCTGAAAAAGCCTAATATGCATGTGTGTTAGTTTACCAAAATTTTCGAACTTTAACCAGATCCATAACTTTTGAAAAGTGGTGCAAGGGCTTTCATACCTCACATGTGTATTAACTTTGACAAGACCTTCTACTGGGTTTTTAAAAATTTGACCTTGACCTTAGAGTTTGGATCGCTTAAAGAAAAAAATTATCCTTGACCATTACTTTTGAGCCGTTAGATCTAGGGCTTTCATATTTCACAAATGTGTTCCTTGTGATAAGAACCTTCTTTGAATACCAGCAATTTTGACTTTGACCTTAGAGTTTGACCCACTTAAAAACTTTAACCTTGACCATAACTTTTGAACCGTGTATACTTGGGCTTTCATATTTCACAGGTATATTTTTTGTGACAAGACCATGCTTTAGGCTTCAACAAATTTGACCTTTTGACCTTGACCTTGGAGTATAAAGTGTATTTTGGAAATTTCAACCCTCGCTATAAGCTGCCATACGGGGGTTAAAGTGTTTCACAAACACATCTTTTTTAAACTTATTAGGATAGTCCCAGTCAGTTGGAACTTTTTTGTAGGGAAATATTTCTGTGAACAATCGGATGCAATCACTTAAGATATTTGTCAATTCGGATTCCTTCTTGTTCCATTATATTTGGATATATCATTTTCACCATCCAAAGAACAACTCAAAAATGAACCGTGGGAACTGCGTAAGTGCAAAAGCCTTTTGAACGCTGTTCGGAATTCCAAATTGTAATAAGCATAAATAATTGGATTTAAACAAGAATTGAAATATCCAATCCAGAATAATATGGAACCTAATATTGGTGGATAAGGACAATTTTCAGCACACAAAGAAGTTATCAAATACCACGAGAAGAACGGTAGAAAACACATAATAAAAGCACCCATTACAATTCCTAACGTTTTGGCAGCTTTGTGTTCACGTTTCATTCTCGTACGTTCAGATATTTTCTTGGATTTTGATGAAACTTGAAGAAGAGCGTCTAAATTGCCACCTTCAGCGTAGCGATAGAAGCTGGTAGAGCAAATGTGATTCTCTTGCTGGCGAGCAGTTTTAAATATTCTAAAATACACAAAAACCATTATAGTGCACGGAATCCAAAATGACACACTTGAAGAGATAACGGCGTAAATCTTGTTCACATGAAAGGAACACGAGTCTGTATTTTGTTCCAAAAGTTTGTAATGTTCTTGCGTTGTGTAAAACTGGGCATGGATGGGAATATAGGATATAAGTGCTGAAGCGATCCATGTAGCAAAGATCATTGCGCCTGCACAACGTGAGGACATTTTGGTGTCGTATTGGAGTGGATAATTGATGGCTATGTAACGGTCGACACTTATGCAGCATAGATGCAGTATAGAAGCAGTGCTAAACAATACATCATTTGCGTTAAATACGTCACACATAGTTCTCCCAAACAACCATTTTCCTGTGATTTCCTGGCTTGCATTAAACGGCATAACTAGAATAGCAACAATTATATCGGCAAATGCCAGAGACACGATGAAATAGTTGGTAACTCTCCCTCGTAGCTTTTCAAACCTTTTTACACTTATTATCACCAGCGAGTTCCCTACGATGGCGGTAGCCATTATGACTGTCATGGCAACCGCTTTCAACACGATCACAGGAACATTCACAGACAGTACTATCTCGTTGTCTAGCATTGATTCATTGAATTTTGTTTTGTTTTGAAGATCTGTACTTATAAACATATCATTTACTATCAACATACCATGTGAGACAGTTGCGGGTATCCTGTGTCCTTTATATAATAGCAAAGAATTGTAGTTTCGAGATTTTTGGTGTTTCATGGCATTATTTGAATTCTAAAGGTATGCACATTCATCTGCAAAGAAAAAAAAAATACAGAATAAAAAAACATTTTATCGGACTGAATATGTCGGAATTGAAGGTTCGAACTATAAGGGGCCTGTTAATTTATGCTTGTCCGTTCGTCTAGCTGCCCGGAAAACTATTTGCCCATAACTTTTGATTGGTTGAATCTTTTGCTTTCATATACGTACCAGGGGTAACTCGTGTGACGAAACTTTTCTTTAATTAGTAACTTACTACAGTAGTACTTGACCTCTCGACCTTGGAGTATAACCATTTTTTCAATTGAAAAAACTTTTACCTTTTCCACAACTTTAATAGTTGTTCTTACGTTGTGATATTACATTTCCTTGGATAAATTTAAGTTTTGGCCTTGACCTTTGGATTGACACAAACTTTATCTTTTTTCGAAAAATTTTGAATGGTTGGAGCTAGGGTTTTCATATAATACATGTGTATTCCTTTGGTAAAACCTTTGATAAATTTTTCCATGGGTAGCAACTATTTAGATTTTAAAGCCTCAGGGGCTTCATCGCTCACATGAGCACTGCGCACGTGGCTATGAAAAATAACTAGAGGTACTGTGAGCAATAAGCTCACTAAATGATTCCCCCGCCTTCCATACGAATATAATGGCAGATTGCTATGGGAAACCCAAAATATGTGTCGGATCAAAAAGTAAAGTAGAAGATGCATAATGGCAATATGAAATAAAGATTCTTTGAAAGTCTCATCAAATTTAATTCAGTGGTATGAGAGGAGTTGCGGATAAGAGATGGGTACTCCAAAGCGTAACAGACGGACGGACATCCTGATTACTTTTTACCCTCCCGCTTTTCAAGCGGAGTGTAAGAAGAGGCAAAAATCAGTTTACATAGTAATAAAAATCTTAAATGCATAAGTGGTGCCGACCTACCCGTTAAGGGAAAAGATGTGTATGAATTTACACTAACTAGGGTATATATTTTGACTGTGACAATTTTTCTACATGTTTAGACTTTCATTGTGGCCCCACCCTTCTCCTGCGAGTCATAATTTGAACAAACATGAATCTACATTTTCTGAGGTTCCTTCCATATAAATATGACCAAACATGGAGTTGCTGTTCGTGAGATTTTTAAAAGTTTTTCCAATGTACCCCTATGTAAAAGTGCCAATGTGGCCCAACCTTACCAGCGGGGGCATGATTTTAACAAACTTGAATCTACACTTTCTGACGATGCTATTACATATAAATATTATTAATCATAGCTTCTGCTAAGATTTTGAAGTGTTTCCCTATATATACAATTATGGTTTACTTCGATCGTCAGTTAAAGTGAATCAACATTATCTGATGATGTTTCCATATTATGACTAATCATGTATTTTCTGTTCTTGAGAAGATTATTTTGCCTATTTACTCCAATGTAAAACAATGGATGTCCATTGTGGCCCCAACCTACCCCCAAGTGGATTTGAACAAACTTGAATTTACATACCCTGAGAATGCTTTCATATTAATATGACCAACCAAAGCTGTGCTGTCCTTCATTTTTTTTTTCCAATTTACTCTTATGTAAAACTTTGATTGTCACTTATGGCCACATCCTACCCCCGGTAGTCATGTTTTGAACAAACTTGAATTTACACTTTCTGAGACGCTTTCACATAAATATTACTCATAGCTTTGGTTTTCTTGAGAAGATTTTTCCTATTATATTCCCCTCAGTTTAACTTTGTTCGTCAGCTATAACCCCACTCTACCCCGGGGGTCATTATTTGATTAAACTTGAATCTACACACCCTGAGAATCAGCATACTGGCTTATTCTTCATATGGCTTTTTTTTAATCTGCATTCAAAGAACATTTTACCGTTAAAAAAATACTAAAAATTTATGTATTTGAATTCATTCTACACTTTATGTATATGTATCTGTATCGGAGGCAATTCGTGTGTGTGTGTGTCCTGAATGTGGCTTTGTTGTCGTAGTAAGATGATACTTCTTAGTTTGTATTACAAGTTTAGTCAATATAAAAAAAAAATTATCTAAAATACATATACCGTATAAGTTGAATTTTTTGCAAGCATTATTAGAGAGGGGGGGTTCTGAAATTGCTAAAATTACCCAAAGTAGGGTTTTTCTCACAAGAAATACAATTGTGAAACACAAAATCCCTAGCACCACCTGTTCAAAACTTATAGTCGAGGATAAATTTTTGAAAGGTAGGTCAAACCCCAAGATGAAAGGGTCTGAGTTGTTGGTTTCTTAAGAAAGATCTTGTCACAAGTAATACATATGTGAAGGATGAAAACCCTAACCCTAACCGTTCAAAAGTTAGGCCAAGTTTAAAGTTTTTTAAAAGTAGGTCAACTCCAAAGTCAAGGTCAAAGGGTTAAAGTTCTTGGTATCCAATGAAAGGTCTTCTCACAAGGACTCACATGTAAAGTATAAAAGCCCTAGTCCTTACCATTCAAAAGTTATGGTCATGGTTAAAGTTTTTTCATAAGTACAGATATCTCCAAGGTCAATGTCAAAGTTGTTGGTATCCAATGAAATGTCTTGCTTCAAAGAATACATATGTGAAATATGAAATTCCTAGTATCTACCATTCGAAAGTTGTGGCCAAGGTCAAAGTTTTTAAAATGAAGGTCAAACTCCAAGGTCAAGGTCAAAGGGTCAAATTTCTAAGAATCCAATGAAAGGTCTTCTCACTATGATTACATATGTAAAGTACGAAAGCCCTAGCCCTTGCCTTTCAAAAGTTATGGTCAAGGTTAAAGTGTTTTTATAAGTACGGAAATCTCCAAGGTCAAACGGTCAAAGGTCTCGATCACCACAAAAAATAAATATGTGAAGTATGAAAGTCCTAGTATCCACCGTTCAAAAGTTTGACCAAGGTTAAAGTTTTTAAAAAGTAGTTAAAACTCCAAGGTCATGGTCAAAGGGTGAAAGTTTTTGGTATCCAATGAAAGATCATATCACAAGGATTACATATGTGAAGTACGAAAGCCCTAGCCCTTACCATTTAAAAGTTATGGTCAAGGTTAAAGCTTTTTCATAAGCTAGGAATCTCAAAGGTCAAGGTCAAAAGGTCAAAGCTGTTGATATCTAATAAAAGGTCTTGCCACAAGGAATACATATGTGAAGTATGAAAGTACTAGTATCCACCGTTCAAAAGTTGTGACCAAGGTTAAAGTTTTTAAAAAGTAGTTAAAACTCCAAGGTCATGGTCAAAGGGTGAAAGTTTTTGGTATCCAATGAAAGATCATATCACAAGGATTACATATGTGAAGTACGAAAGCCCTAGCCCTTACCATTTAAAAGTTATGGTCAAGGTTAAAGCTTTTTCATAAGTTAGGAATCTCAAAGGTCAAGGTCAAAAGGTCAAAGCTGTTGATATCTAATAAAAGGTCTTGCCACAAGGAATACATATGTGAAGTATGAAAGTACTAGTATCTACCATTCAAAAGCTGTGACCAAGGTTAAAGTTTTTGAAAAGTAGTTAAAACTCCAAGGTCAAGGTCTAAGGGTCAAAGTTCTTGGTATCCAGTGAAAGGTCTTGTCACAAGGATAACATACATATATATGAAGTATGAAAGCCCTATGCCGTAACATTCAAAAGTTATGGTCAATGTTAAAGTTTTTTTCATAAGTACGAAAATCTCCAAGGTCAAGGTCAAAACGTCAAAGTAATTGGTATCCAATAAAAGGTCTTGCTACAAAAAAAAATACATATGTGAAATATGAAAGTCCTAGTACCTTACATTCAAAAGTTATGACCAAAGTAAAAGTTTGGAAATTTTGTGTTAAAGTGGGTCAAACTCTAAGGTCAAGGTCAAAAGGTCAAATTTGGTGGTACCCAAAGAAAGATTTTGTCACAAGAAATACATATGTGAAATATGAAAGTCATAGCTCCACTAAATCAAAAGGTATGGGTAAGGTTAAAGTTTTTGTGACGGGCGGACAGACTGACGGACAGACGAATGAGATTTAATGTCCCCTCGCTTTCGCGAAAGCGGGGGACAATATATTATTATCTGTCTTTGACCATAACTGTCAAAAAAAATATATAAAACCATAACGCTATAGATCTGCAGCTAATTCTTAATAAAGTGTACAGATGGTTCTTTTTATATAGAATATTTATCACACTGTAATGATGATTTTATGAGTTTGTACAAACCAGACGTCATATCTTTTTCATATCACATGATGCTGAATACGATCATTTAGTGAAAAAAGTATTTCAAAAGAAAAAGAATGAAGAAAATGGATTACCCAGGATTCGAACCCTGGACCTCTTGCATGTCAGGCGATAGATATACCACTACACCACGGAGCCTCTTTAAAGGTACTTGGACACAGATTTGAAGTTATTATTTTCTTTATATATTACAACTTATATATTTTAATAGCATTTCACACAAAAATTAATAAAAAATATTATTTCATATAAAAGATATTAAAATTTAAAAATTTTTGGCGGGTTTGATTGACACATCCTTGCACTTTCACGAATTAATTTTATTCTTAATCCTTAGGAAAAGTGGCAATCTCGTTGTGCATAAATGAAAAATATTAATACTATAATCCAGAAAATTCAGAGTAGACATGTTCGATAGCAAAACAAACACACAATATATCGTCAGTCCGTGCAGTTGTGGTAAGAAGACTGTGACAATTAAACGCACCCGGTGAATTGTAAACATCAACAAACACAAAACTCGGCCCTGTTTACAAAAGCTATGTATATAAACACGAGTGTGCTCGATTTGCTAAACTCTTTACGCAACTCTTAGTTCGGAATGACGATACTTGTGAAGGAGTTTTGCTTTCTAACATTTCTACTCTGAATAAAATTATTTCTCTGGATAAAAGTTTTAATATTTCTCATTAATACACAACACCTTTCCTAAGGATTAAAAACAAGAGGCCCATGGGCCACATCGCTCACCTGAGCACTAAGGGTAGGAAAAAGTAGAAAATGTTTTTTTAAAGTTTAAATCCAAAAGTAGTCCCATGACCAAT